AGATGCTGTACCCTGACCTTCACATGTTAATACCTGGATATCTGGTGGCTTTTGAAGGCTGGGATATCTTCTCAGACTGACAGGTAATCATTTACCAATAAGGTAAATAGAAAATACTGAAAAAAGCTACTTATAGGTGCTGAGAGCTGAGATGCCTTAGAAAGTCCCAGCGCAGCAGTGCGGCTCTGCTGAGTCTGCCAGAACCTTAGGAACAATTGGAACAGTGGAATGAAAGGGACTTTTATTTTAAGGCAATTTAAAGAAGACCTGAGGAACAGATGTCCTTCCTAAGATTATGAAAACACTAAAATAGATAGTTCCAGTTAATAAGAAATTAAAACTGGCACTCACTATGAACTGTTAAATCGTGTATATGCACTACAATTACTCGTATAAATGCCATAACCCTGTGCATGCACATAACAGAAAGCAGTTGTTTCTGCAGGGAAGGGGCGTGGCAGGTTAGCAGCAGCCCAGGCATTGGTGGGGAGGTGATGCCACTGAGTCACTGAGAAGCAACCTTCTTTTTCCTCCAAAGGAGGCTGGGAGACATGGGACTCTGCCCTGCTCCTGAGATGGGCACCCAGCTGCTGCACGTGGCCTTCTGTCTCCTGTGGGCAGGTGAGGGATGGCTACAGCTGGGCCCCTCACTGCCTCCCACCCCAGGGCATCCGTGGCTTCTCCTTGACTGGCCCCTTCTGACTTGGGTCATTCTCTGTTACAGGACACATGGAGGCTGCTGTCACCCAACGTCCAAGACACAAGCTCACAGAGACAGGAAGACAGGTGAATTTGAGCTGTCGCCAGAATGACAACCATGACTACATGTACTGGTATCGACAAGACCCTGGACATGGGCTGAGGCTGCTCTATTACTCAAATGCAGAAAGAAGCACTGTAAAAGGAGACATCCCCGATGGGTACAGCGTGACCAGACCACGCAAGGAGAACTTCTCTCTTACTGTGGACTCAGCCACCCCCTCCCACACAGCTGTGTACTGGTGTGCCAGCAGTTTCTCCACAGTGCTGCAGGGCTGCCTCCTCTCTGCACAGAAAGTGTGAGGGGAGACGGAGGGCATCTGCTCGCCCCTTTGAAGTCTCCAGTGTCAACAGCAGTGTGTGCCAACTGGTTCCTTCTCAGCCCCTGTCAGACCAGAGCTTGGGGGCTACAGGGTGCAGATGTCCTTGCTTTAACACGTGTGCACCCTGGTGGTGCAATTACTTGTTCTGAATGACAGTGGCCATTGAATTAGCATTGAATCAAATTGATCTTCAATAGTGGCAGAAAGATGGTCTTGGCAGAGTGGGATTTTATAGATGGAAGATATACAACAGAGTTATCCATGAACTTTAGGATCTGTTTTATTGTATTAGTCAGTTTCCTATCCCTTGGACATAACGTCTGAGTAAACCTAAGGAGAAAATGTTTATTTATTTGAGTCACAATTTTAGGCATTTTAGTCAGTGTTCACTTGGCTGTGTTGTTTCCACTAGAGAAGTTAGGCATCATGGTGGGGAGAACATAGCATAGCAGAGTTGATTGCTCTATAGCAGCCTGGCTTCAGAGAAGGACGGAGCAAAGAGGAAGGAGAGAGAAAGAACATAGGAAGGAAGGAAGGCGGAAAGGAAGGAAGCAAGAAGGAAAGAAAGAAAGAAAGGAAGAAAGAAAGAAAGAAAGAAAAGAAAGAGAGAAAGAAAGAAGGAAAGGAAGGAAGGCAGAAAGGATAGAAGGAAGGAAAAAGAAAGAATGGAAGGAAGGAAGCAAGCAAGCCAAGATAGAAGGAAGGATGCAAGGAAGGAAAAGAAGGGAAGAAATACTACAAATGTCCCGATCTGCAGGACTTCAACGAGGGCAGTGAACCTAAGCGAGAAAAAATGAAGGGACAAGAGACACAAAGAAGGACAGCAAGACAAGGATTCTGATCAACCTGCCAAATTTTATTTTTCACACAAGGGTATTTATATGCTTGGACTTAGGGCATGGTGAAAAGGTGGTCATTAGTAGACTTAGGGCGTGGTGAAAAGGTGGTCCTTAGTAGCTGCAGGGTGTTTACTTTAGGGCGTGGTGAAAAGGTGGGATTCTGTAAACTCAGCCTCAAGATGTTCCAGTGAGATAGTTAAGCGTATTATGTTGAGAGACTTAACTTTTGGCTCCCAACATCTCCCCCTTTCTTATTTAGAAAATTGACCATTAATTGTTGGCTGCTCTTTTTAAGGGGGTGACAGAGGCTCTGTTCCTCTAAGGGCCCAGGATTTTTCTCCACTCTTGAGCGAGCGTCCTTACTCGGGGAGGGGAGTTTTACAGGCCTT